AGTTCCACTTCATCATTTTCACCGGGCACCTCTTCGTTGAACATTTTTCGAAATACATCGCTCGCTTTTGATAAAACATCTTTATGTGCTGGAACACGGTCCTTTTGATTGCCACACACAAAATACACATCGGCTGTACGCTCGTCCATGTATAAATTTCGGAATGATTCAGATGGAAAATCATTTGGTTTCACTTTTATTACGATATCGTAAATAGTTTTATTCGCCATTTTTTATCGCTTTTCTCGAATTTTCTTTAGATAGTACCATAAAGCGATTTAAATTGATGAGAAAAAATCACTTGAATTTAATTTGCAACAATTCAATATTGAATAATATTTTAATTTCAATGTTTCGAGTGCGAATGGAAAAATGAGACTGAATTTTAAGAGGGCCGAGCTGTGAGTATTTCTGCAATGTAATTAGAGAACAATGGTTGTCACACACTCATACAGATGCTTAATTGTAAATCAAAACAAGCGTCTGTTTAAAATGTCATTAGATCGTAAGATGACATTAAAATTAAATCTTTATTTATTTTATCTGTTTACACGGATTGGATTATTGATCATCAAAATGTTTTATTTTCATTGAAATTTGAAATCTGTATCAATTTCAGTATTCAACTTGAGTTAAAAATTAACGTTTCGTTTGTTGTTAATTTTCTTCTTTAACAACATTGTCTCTATTATGGATGGTATCCCAAATTGATAAACGTGAAGCACTTTCGATTTCACATACAAAACGTAAATCGATGTCACAACGAACTTCATTCCACTTTAGATCGTTAAGACCACGTAGTTCTACACATTTTTCGGCTTGGGCTTCAGTTACAGTCAAATTGTATGGTTTTTTATCAACAAAATTTTTATAGACAATTTTACTTCCGTTGCTCATCCAGTAAATGAAATTCTCGCCCAATTTGGTGCCAGATGTCCAAAAGCTATTTTCCGACAAAGGATAGCCTGATAGAAGTAGAAATTAAAAATTTAATTCATTCGTTTAATTTCTTTGTTAGATGCTTTTCTTACATCGACTGCGACACTAAACATACCCGAATTTTTAATAAATTTAGTAACCTTTTCGTTTTCTTGCTCCGACATAATGCTAATCAGACGTTGATTGATTGAGTTACAATATGCATTGCCTTGGTACCAGTTTCCCTGTACGGAATATATAATATTTAAAAAAAAGTAAGAAACATAGTAAATTAGGAAATTTTTTTTAATAATTTTCTTTAAAACGAAAATCACAAATCAAACGTACCGTCATCCATCTGCCAATGTGGTAAAATTTCTCACTGAGACCTATAAAAATGTAAATAGAAACTAATTTTTAGTTCAACACTCAATTTAAAATTCGGTAAAAATTCTATTTACCAATCCCCAAAATGGAGATGAATAGTACAAGGCACAGTTTCATGATTAAAATACTTCACAAACTTCACACTTGATGCTGACCACCAAACTGAAAATGGTGTCGAAGAGAGATCCTCTTTTATAGCACAAAGAATGATGCATTACGTCATTCGTTCAATCTAATTCTTCGAAATGATGTTGTTTTTCTTGTCGAATCAATTTTTCGTCAGAACTGAATAGAGTTCTGAATTTCAATATATGCTTTTTTTCAAAAATCAGCTAAATTTTCGTCAGAATGAAATGGTCGATAAGAGTTTGCGACATACGTGTAGCCGAGAATGAATATGGCTTAAGCAAACTTATCTCATCATTTCGTTTATGGAAAATTCTGTAGAGTGTATGGTGATATGAGTCATTTTTATTTTCATCTACGCATATAATTTTTAATAATAATCAGAAATGTGACAGATAAGATTCAAAGTGCTTTCGGAAGATGTAAATTGGGTGGGCAATTGGACATTGAGTAAACAAGCTGATTATTCATAATAATTTTGCCTAGGTCAAGTTTGAAGTCAAGTTTTTTTTGTGCACAAAAGTAAATGAAAATAGAAAGTGAATGGAATAGCAGTGAATCATTTTTGCCAATATTTATAGGAAAGATGTATCGAAATTTCATTTTATGTATCGCAAAATTAACGTCAGATTCGGCTTTCTCATACTGAAAAAACCGTACAAGCCCAAACAAGCGGACCATATTATTAAGAATTAAGATGCGGAAGCTCTTCATTTGCACCATCTCTCATTCCTTAGTTCAACTCAATTTAGTTCCACTCCATTGAATCGAAGAAGAGAAAAAACAACAACAATAACACGGCTACATAGATGACCAGTGAGATAGGTATACCAGTGGAATGAAAGAATGAAGAGATCGTATATGTGTATGTATACATCACAGATGTACACTGTACAGCTCTGTGTGGCGTGTGTGGTTGTTGTTTTTTCTCCTCTTCTTCGTTTCAATGGTACAGAACTAAATCAAGTTCACTGACATAATTAGAGATGGCGCGGGTAAAAAGTTCCCATAAAAACAGCTCTCCAATCTCATACAAATATACACCGGTTGAAACCAACACAGTGTTCTTATTGAAAAGAGACTTTTTTCCAACGGCATCAAACTAGATCTATCATGAAAATTATCATTCAACCTCGATCTTGAAAGATTTTTTTTTTTTTCAAAAAAAATGTGGATCACTTAAGTGATAAGAATTCTTTTCATCAATCTGAATAGGCTATGTTAAAAAATGATCACTTCCTCTATTATCGATACACCCTAATGTATAGCGACGGTAGCAAGCATCAAGACTTTTCCAAAAATAGAGAAAAGAATTGTCGTACATTTACTTGTGGTCTTTAGTCATAAAGTGTGTCATTGTACGCCGTACATACCTTTATTTCATCATTGATAACGGATCATGCTTAGACGATTGATTAACCTTTGGCTATGATTCACTCCGAAAAAAAATTGAAAACCATTGCAGTTGTGAAGACTTTCATTCTAAACAAAAACAACGACTCATTCTAGCTTTGAAATAAATAAAACACCTCATAATCTTTTTGTTTCATAATTTTAATAATAGCAATGACATCATCGTTTGGATCACATAAATTTAAGTGCAATCAGCTCATATACAAGCATTGATAAATATTATTTAAAAAATAAAATAAAAAAAAGGAATAAAAAATTCAAACTCCACGCATGTTATCAGCGTGAAAAAGTAAGAGCGAAAATGTCATCAATGAAGATAATGTCTAAAATGATGATTCCATTCGATTTTTTCGCAACGTTCAATATTAACATGTTCAAATTGTGTTTTATCAACGGTCCATTTGGTGTTTAAATAAACATCTTCTTCCAAATAGATGGTAATTTTATGTGCGTCCTCTAATTCAGAGCGTTCTTTGCTAAGTCCCGGCAAATACAAAATATTTCCATCGTAATGTTCGCCGCTCTCCATATTTCTGACTTTGATCCGTTTCAATTTGCGTGAATGTTGAATGAATGGTAAAATATGATCAGAACTGGCATAATAAAAATAGACACGTTCAAGATTGACTAGACTCTTGGCCACCGCATCCAAATTGGAGACGGTCGATCCAACATGAATGCCAAGCTCTTCCA